GGAGTCTGAAAATACTGCGGAAGTGACGAACCGTGGGGCCCTCATCTCTGCTGTGACACACACGCACGCACGCGGGATCAGATTCCTGTCACGTCCACGCCGTTGATCCTGGATAACGCCAAGAGCAGGACATACACATGCATATGTATACATACACGCCACCCCCCCACCACACACTCAGACACAGACACACACACACGCACGCGCGCACACACAAATTGAGATTCAATTCCGACCTGTCAAACTCGATGCAGTTTATATTGACATAAATTACAGCCATAATTTGTGTTAATGACAGCGATACCTTAAATTTGGAATAACTCAGTGAAAAATGATCGTATCAAACTCCGTAAAAAAGCATTTTAAAGATAAAAGTCCATATTTTCATGTGGATTTTGTTCCATTGAGCTGCGATACCTGATTCACGCCGTGGATCGTCGCAAACTCGCACCTTTGATTACAAATTTTACATCTTCTCATTTTGTAATCCGCCATTTTGAAAAAAATTACCGCTTATAATTGCCGTTCAAATATTCTTAAGTGGACACTTCAAGCTTTATTTTCCTTTTTTAAACATATTTTTATCTTTATTATTTACCAAGTTATGATCATTTGAAATTTGGTAAATTTTTCCTAATTTTTCAGTGTACCGCTTTTTTTGCATGCGAGTGTATATACGCATACGAAGAAATAATTTTATTAAATAAGAAGTTGGGAAATTTGGACATGGTGGTTCAAAAGTTATACTTTGTGCCAACTGTAATAAGTAATTACCAATATTTTTCTGAAAACAATTCTTTTCAAAATTTTTTACAAATATTTCTTCTAATTTCTGAATGTAATTATAAAACTCATTACTAGGTATATGAAAATTTCCGAACAAATTTCCTTCTTCGTTTTCACAAGCTCGAAAAGAACAATATAATGTAGTTTCATCTAATACAGTCTCATTTTCATTTACATATTTTGTACATATATCACATGTATGTATTGCTGTACATTTTTTAATTAAATAGCCGCATACATACTTAAGCGCATTTTCTTCTGGCAGAGTCATTGTTTGGTAATCATGAGTTGGAATTTTTAAAACTTTAAGCGCCAATGATGGAACAAATTCCGAAGTTGTAGACTCTTTAATATTAGACGTTCCAATAAGATTTAGTATTTCACCATTATCAGGAGCACAATTTTGATTTTTTGATTGTTCTAAAAATTTCGTACTGAATAATTTTTTAAAGGCACGTGTAAATTGTATAGGTGTCGGATTAAAGCAATTACCACCTTGTTGCCGAACAGAGCCAAAGAAATTTTCGACACAATCTTGATTTAATCTACGTGTTTGCAGATACTGAAAATGACAATTTTTTAATATTGTCCAGAGCTGAATAATACTATTAATTGTTATCTGCCAGCAATTAAAACATTTAACTGTTACAGATTTATTATTTTTGTCTACGACTTTAATACACTTTATAAAATATAACATTTCTTCCAAGAACTGCATTTGTTTATCATTTCCGATAAAAGCTTTTCCATATTCTTTGTAATTATTTAAAGTTGATGAATTTAAAATATCAAATAATTTATTAAAATGATCTATTAAATCTATAGTCCCAACTGCTTCAGTTGGAAGAAAACCAAAAGACATTTGCGTACACATTCCTGCAGCTACATGATTACTGAATACTTGTACAGCATACTTTACTTTCATTTTTGTAAAATTATTTGGCTCTATATGATCCATCGATAATTTAGGAGCTGCTTTTATCCATTGTGTGCTGTCTCGTTTATAAAACTGTACAATGTGATCCCAAGAAGCTATTTTATCATTAATTTTAAAATTGTACTTTAATAAATTATTTCGAGTTGCTTTAATTAAGTGTGGAGTATCAAAAATGTAAACTACATTTTCTTCGTTAACTGAAAAGGTAGAATTTTCTGTTGAGATTCCTAAATTACGAGATAGTTGTATAAAATTAGAACCCATATCTGTTATTAATGCATGCACCATAGCACCACAATTTCTTAACTTAATTATAATATCAAATAAAATATTTTTTAATACATTACTATGACACGTAGTCTCTACAAAACAGAAGTAAACGGGCAGTTTCCATTCGCCTGCAATGCTACGTGCCATTATAACAAAAGCACTTTTTGCAGGCACACATGATTTTTTATCACCATTGTCCTCAAATCCAATAATTTCATCTCTTGATACATTATAGAACAAATGACTTTTTAAACTCATTTCATCTGCACATAACACACAATGACGTTCTATCAATGGTAATGAATTTAATTTTAATTTTAAGGCTTCAAAAATTTTATCATTTATACCCGGTAAGATATTCCATCTTTCTGTAAATAAATGTAAAGAACGTACAGAAGGCAATGCAATAGATTGTTGCAATTCTCGATAAGTTCGTGGACTTAAAAAATAAATTGACAATGCAAATTTTTTAAATTCGAGATCATATCTTCTACCACGTTTACTTTTAAGTTGTGCGTTGACTTGTGCCATTAAAATTTTATTAAATTGTTCGGGTAATAATTTACGGCCTAATTTTTTCAAACGCTCAAATTCATTTTCTTTTTTAAGTGTTACCTTCTTTTTCTTTCTTTCCAAACGGAGTCGTCGAATTCTTTGACGTAGTGTATTATTTTGTATCTGCAATCTCTTAATCTTCAAACGCAATTTCCTTTTCTTTGGGCTATCATCCAACGATTTATTATCTTGACTCCTGGATGTACTTCTGTAATATGATACAAATCCATTAAATTAGTGAAGATTTTTTTGGAATATGATGAACAATCTAGTAAATTCTACTAACAAAAGAAATAAATTTGAGTAGTATTAAAAGATAAAGTTAAAAAATAGAAATATAATAGATTAATTTTTTAATTACACATTCTAGTAATAAGAAAATGTTTGTAAAAATATTTTATTATAAATGAAAAAATAAAAATATATGCTTTACTATAATAGATAACTTATTAAACGAAAACTTACGGTTTAACTTTTTCAGCCTCTATGTCATGGATAGTAATTGGCAGAATTGTTTGTGAAGTGCTAGCATTACTGAAAATATCATAAAAAATTATATACTTTTATTAAAAATAAAAATGTTGTCTATTAATATAAATTACCTAGTCTCTTCTTGCATTTGAATTATTTCAACATCAGTGGTCTCTCTGCATACATTTCTACAATAAAAGAATATATATATCATAACTTCATAAAATATTATTATATAAAAAAATATAAAACAGTTTAAATATACCTATTTATTTTTTCTGTGAATCTATCTTCTTTTTCTGTTTCATTAATTGAATACAGTTGAACAACATTTCTGAAAAAAGAACCATTTTCTGTATTTATAAATTATTTTAATAATACATAAAATAACAACTATTATTAATAGATATTATTACTATACATATATTATTTGATTAATTATACACATCTCATTATTAAAGTAATTATATTGTTGTAAAATTATTATATATTATTTTATATGTACTGCTTTCTATGTATGCACAGTATATTACTCAATTTGATTAAATCTAAATAAACTAAATTATAAAAAAATAAATAATAAAAATAAAAACTCACTCTTGTTTATTAATATGCACTCCAAATAGAGTAGGTATAGCATCTGGGTGAAGACGAGCTCTAATTTTGTTAATATTGTACCATTTTTTTTCAAAATGTAAATGGCACAAACAGCAATTGTGATAGGCATATTCTGGACCTTTGGGTTCTAAATCCAGCCTTCCACATGCTCGTATCCACTGCATCCATCTATACACATATAAATATATACACATATATACATAAGTTATAAAGTTTTATCATTAACAGATTAATATAGTTGTTTAATAAAAGATTGCAACATTTTTTTGTAAAAACAGTAAATCACTCACTACAAGTAAGTGTGTGTGTGTGTGTGTGTGTGTGTGTGTGTGTGTGTGTGTGTGTGATGACACATAATAAAATTAATATAAACAAAATTTACATTATAAAGTAATAATTATGAAACAATACCTGTCATGCTCTTTTGGAAATCTAAAAAAATGTCGTTCCACATTAAAACTTTGAACGCACAATCGTACAGCACATGATCGTTTTTTTCCACTCATTTTTATTGTTTTCTTTAGTTTCACTTTGTGATTTAAACTCTCTTCTTCAGCAACACCTGAAACAAAGCTAAGATCAAAAGTGCAAAAGTACAAGAGAATAGATAATTTATACAATAGTTGTATAGATTAACTATTTTCTTAGTAATCGTTCCTCGGTTTCACTTAATTTTTTCCACTTTTTCACTATTTTATTTCCACAAACTTTTCGGTCACAAACTAAATTCGTAGTTTCTCGAACTAACACAACTCAAACAGATGGAAATTATACTAATTTCCTTCAAATTTGAGCTTTCTAAGCACACACTGGCACACACCTAATCACAGGATCGACAGGATCTTTAAACGGAGCCGTTTAAATGGTCCTGACAAAGAGTGACAGAGAACGGATAAGAAGAAGTGAGAAAGAAGTTTCGGTGGCGCGCATGTGCAGGTTGCTTATTTCGCGCATGCGCACTCCATTTTGTGTGACATAAAATCAGGAGAGTTGCGCTACTGGATATACTGTGCTAAAGGAGTGGTTGAGTGGTAAGTGGGGTGAAGGAAGCGAGGTAGAGGGAAGGGAGGAGCAGAAAAGGGAAGACAAGAGAGGAGCAGGGAAAGGAAGAAGAGGAAGGCTAACGAAAGCGGAGAGCTTGGGCCGAGACAGAAGGGAAAGCAGTGCGAGCGGCAGCATAATATCATTACTGTCAAAACGAAATAGAGGAAGCGATTCCGATACAGATCAGGAGGAAAAAAATAAGAAAAAGCAGAGGGTAAAGATTGAAAAGGGGAAAGTGGACCCTGACGAAGAAGAACAAAGAGAAAAAGTAGGAAGCAGAATGGAGCAAATAGAAGAGGTGATGAAAAGATTGCTGGAAGAAGCGAAGCAGGAAATTTTGAAAAAAGTAGAGGAAACAGGGGAGGAAATAAAGAGGGATTTAAAGAGGGAAATGAAGGAAGAGATCGAAAAGATAAGAGCAGAAGAGAGAAAGGCAAGGGAGAAATTAGAGGACGAGTTAAAAGAACTAAAAGAGAAAGTACAAGAGATGGAGAAGAAAAACATGGATCAAGAAAGAAGAGAGAGAAGATTAAATATTGTAATAAGAGGGGTGGATGTAAAGGGAGGAAATGTAAGAGAGGCGGTGGAAGGAGTTTTAGAGAAAATAGGAGTGAATGAGAAAGAAATAAATGTGAAGGATGCATATAAGATTAGAGTGAGAGAGAATGAGAGTATGATAGTTGTAAAATTAAATAGTATGTATGAGAAAAGAATGATAATGGAGAAAAAGAATAAGTTGAGAGGATCGAGAGTGTATGTGGATGATGACATGATGAAGAGTGAGAGAGAGAGACAGAGTGCGATTAGGGCGTGGGCAAAAAAGGAGAGAGACAAAGGTATGCGTGTGAAAGTGGGGTTTGGAAGGGGGTGGTTAAATGGAAAAGAGTATGTATGGAAGAGCGAACGAGGGTGTATGTGTGAGATGAATTTTTAAAGAGTGCTTGCAGGGTGAAGGAGAAAAAAGAGGAATCCACGCAAAATAGGAAAGGGCGGGACGGGTGTAAGAAGGGGAAAAAGGTTAGGGGGGTGGTATGGAATGTTGCAGGATTAAAAAAGAAGGATGAGGATTTTTGGAAATTCTTGAGCGAATTTGATGTGATCGGGTTGATAGAAACGTGGGTAGATGAAAGGGAGTGGGGGAAGATGAGAGATAAAATGCCAGAGGGTTGGAGATGGAAGTGTCAGGTAGCTAGGAGGGAGGGAAAGATGGGAAGAGCGAGGGGGGGTATTGTGACTGGAGTGAGAAGGGAGTTGGAGGAAAGAGAAATCGGGTATGATGAGAGGGATGGCATTCAGGAAAGGGAAATGATCATAGATAGGGAGAGGTGGAGATTTGTGATAGTGTATAACAGGGAGGGACGAAAAGAGGGTATGGATAATTTGAAAGAGGTGATTAAGGAAGAGGAAGAGGGAATTTTAATGATAGCAGGGGATTTTAATGCTAGAATAGGGAAAGGAGAAGGGTGGGGTAGACAGTGTACAGAGGGAGAAGGGACAAATGAGGAAGCTAGAGAGTCTAAAGATAAAGTTATAAATAAGCAAGGAAGAGATTTGATAGAGGTGATAGAGGAAAGGGGATGGATGGTCTTAAATGGAGATAAGGAGGGGGACGAAGAGGGGGAGTGGACCTATGAGAAGGGAGAAGGGAGATCAGTAATTGACTTTGGTATAGTGAACTGGAAAGCTTGGGAGAGAGTAGGGAGATTTGAGGTAGGGTGCAGGGGGGAGTCGGACCATCAGCCAATTATGATAGAGTTAGGGTCATATTATGAAAGGGGAAAAGAGAAGAGAGAGGAAGAGCAAGAATTTCAGGATTGGTCAAAGGAGGGTACAAGGAAGTACAGGAAGACCATAGAGGAAGTAGAATGGAGAGGGGGAGGGGTGAAAGAGAGGTGGGAGGAGTTGGAAAGAGAGATAAATAAAGCGGTGGAGTTTAAAAAAAGGAGGAAGAGAGGGGGGCTAGGATGGTGCCCGTGGTGGGATGGAGAGTGTAGAGAAAAGAAGAGAGAGATGAATAGAGCGAGAAGACGGTATAGGAGAGAACAAGAAGATGGAAGGTATGAAGAATACTTACGATGTAAAAAGGAGTATAGAGAGTTGTGTGCAAAGAAAGAGGTGGAGCAAAAGAGACGGGAGGAAAAGGAGGTAGAAAATATAAAGACGGAATCAGAGGCATGGAAATTTATAAACAGAAGGAGGAAGAAAAGGGAGGGGATATGTAAAGAGATTGAAATGGAGGAGTGGGTAAAGCACTTCATTGGAAACTTAGGTGGAGTTGAGGAAAGAAAAGGGGAGGGAAGTAGAATAAGAGAAGCTGATAGAGTAGGAGACGAGGGGATAGGGGAAGAGGAGGTAATGAATGAAATAAAAAGGTTAAAAATGGGCAAAGCAGCGAGACAGGATGGAATAAAAAATGAGGCATGGAAAGAGGGAGGGGAAATAATTGGGAAAAGATTGGGGGAGGTATTGAGGAGAGTATGGGAGGGGGAAGGGTTCCCGGAGAGATGGAGGGTAGGAGTCGTGGTACCGATTTGGAAGAGAGGAGAGAGAGGGGACCCAGGAAATTATAGAGGGGTAACGATGACGAGCACAGGATATAAAATATATGCGAATATTTTAAACAGAAGGTTAATAAAAGAGCTGGATGAGAAAGGAGGATGGAGTAGGTCGCAGGCGAGCTTCAGGAAAGGAAGAGGGACAGTGGAGAATGTGAAGATCCTGAAGTATATAGTGGGAAGAAGGATAGAACAGAAAAAGAAGGTGTGGGCGTTTTTCATGGATCTAAAGGCAGCATTCGATAGAGTGGATAGAAAAGTGTTGTGGGAAATGATGAGGAAAAGAGGGGTGAGTGAGGGTTTAATAGACAGAGTGATGGAGGTATATGAGGAGACGAGATGTGTTGTGAGGATAGGTGAGAATGTGTCAAGGGAATTTTGGGTGGAAAATGGGGTAAGGCAGGGTTGCCCGATGAGCCCGACCCTGTTTAATATATACATAGCAGATATTGAGGAGGAGTTAAAGAAAGGGAAGGGGGGGATTCGGGTGGGAAATGATAGGATGTGGTCAATAGAATATGCGGATGATATTGTGCTGCTAGCAGAGGAGGAGGAAGGATTAAGAGACATGATAAGGGGGGTGAGGAGGTATATAGAAGGGAAGAAGCTAGAACTGAGTGCTGATAAATCCAAGGTGATGGTGTTTAGAAAGAAGGGAGGAAGAGAGAAGGAGAGATTCTGGTGGTGGGGAGGGAAAAGGATAGAGGAAGTGAAAGAATACAAGTATTTAGGGTATGTGATAACAAGGCATGGAGGGGATAAGGAACATGTGAGAGAAAGGGTGAGAAGGGCTAGAGTGGCAATGGGGTGGGTATGGAGTTATGGGGAGAGAAAATTCAAGGGGGATGTAAGATGGAGGCTAAAACTGTTTGACAGTATAGTGAAGGGAATTTTATTTTATGGAGTGGAAATATGGGGGTACAGAGAGTGGAAGGAGGTGGAAGCGATTCAGGAAAAATATCTGAAGTGGATCTTGGGATTGGAAAGGGTTACACCGGGGTATATAGCAAGAGAGGAGTTAAAAAGAAATAAATTAAGAGTAGAAACGGGATGGAGGGCAGGAAGGTTTGAGGAAAAATTAGAGAAGGGAGAGGGAGGGGAAATCGGGATGATGTGCATGGATGAGAAGAGAAAGAGCGAAAGAGAGAATGATAGGAGTGAATGGTCAAGAGAGAGTGTGGAGAGGGGGAATTATCTATGGAGAGGAGGTATGAGCGAAGTAGCTATGAATGAATGTGGAGAGAATAAATGGGAGCTTCTGAGAAAAAGAGATATAGAAGTAGATGAACAAGAGAGAGGAGAGAAAGTGAGAGTGTCTAAGTCGTGTGCAAGTTATGGGAGAGTGAATGGGGTACCAATATATGTAAGAATGTGTAAGAGAAATGAGGGCAAACGATTGGTGAAAATAGCGAGATGGAGATGCGGGAATGAAGAGAGGGGAAATAAGTATTGGATGAAGGAGGAGGAGAGAAAGTGTAGACTGTGTGCAAAAGAGAGAGAGAATGTTGAGCATTTAAAGAACAGGTGCGAGTATGTATGGGAGAAAGGGGAAAGAGATGTAGATGTCTTAAATCAGGATGGGAGAGGAATCAGATGGATGGAGATGATAGAACGAGTAAGGGGGGGGGAGAGAGAGAGAGAGAGAGAGAGAGAGAGAGAGAGAGAGAGAGAGAAAAGCAGCGTGCGTGAATGACGTGAGTATTATTGGCACGTCAAATTGATAAGGTACAAAGAACTCGATCGGAATTGTCGCATTTGTGTTTTGTCAAGCAATGGAGTCTTTATAAATGTGTGGCATGCTTAACAATTAAGCTTTGTATAAATGGGACATATATCATCAAAGATCCCATTTTAAATTATGCATATTTTACATATGTATTATTGTTTGGTGTTATATCCCTGCGGTATTTATTTTATTTTTTTTTTTTCATTCTACAAACAAAATACCTTTATAAACACGCGAAAAGCCTATATCGGCGGAAACTTATTTATAACCTTATTTAACCCTATATAACTCTGTCATTTTTCATCTTTTCGCAATTCTAAGTGTCATATCGAATGTCTATTTTCACGAATGCTTTTCAATAATTTTGGTCGCATCTCAATATCATTTCATTTAGGCAGATCATTAAGTTTTTATTTTTGTAAGATAAGTAAGTGTAATAATATGGAAGTCCATGTAAGCACTTTTGTGATATGCATAATAAACTATATATAATAACTATATATAATAATATAGTTTTCAGATCAACACAAAAATTGTTATGACCAATTTTCTGAATACATGTTTTTTTGCAAAAAAAAATTTGTCACTAGTTGTGAAACACTGAAAAATGTTTTGTTCAATTTGAAAAATATGACGTACAACTGCGAATAATAGTAAAAATTGTCATTTTTATTTATTTTAAAGACCATTAGTCTTCTTCGTCCAAATCGCTGTCAGAATGTATGCATGTAAAAAGCTTGTGCGCATGTTTGCACACTTTAAGTGAACAGGCCGTTCGCAGGAATTGCATTGGATGGAATTGAAAGCGGTTAATTTCTTTGGCAACAGCTTCAAACAAAGTATGCAAAAATCAGCATCGTCATCATCATCGTCTTCGTCAGCCGATCGCGGTGAAATTTGTGTTTTAAAACGCTTAACAGGTTGTGTTGTTTTCTTCGGCGCCGTTGTTGCTCTTTTTTTTCTTGTTGCTGTGGCTTCTTTCTTCGCTGCTTCTGCGGCCTTCTTTGCTGCTTTCTCTTTAAGAACAGCAATGTTTTCAGGAGAGGTTAGCTCGCAGCTCTTCATTGCTTTTCGACCACGATTTGACGGCTTTTTTGGAGTAGCTGCTTGCAATGGACCAATTTCATCTAAAATCGATGCTTGACCCGGTGTCATAGTTAATGCTCCTCGAGATGTTGTTGGTTCAATTGTTTCAGGTACAATAGCTTCATCACAAACAACATTTAGTGGATCAACAACAATAATCCGCCGTTGGTTATTTTCGTTAAGATCAGCCTCAATCGCCGCTTCCTCAGCATTTTGCTGAACGGCTTGAACAAAGTCAGCATCAGAAAAAATATCGGGATTGAATGGAGAAATTCCCGTTGCAGCAAAACCCGATTTGATCGTTTTTGATGTCAACGCCGAATCTAATGCTGCACAAACAAGACCTGCAATATGCTTTATTTCCAAAACCTATTAAGAATGAAGGTTACAACAAATTAGAAAAATGTCAATGATAAAAAAAAACATTGAATTTACCTTATTGGCATTGTTCTTTTGCCATGTAGAACACTGCGACTTGTAATAAGCTTTGGTAGGGCCAAAAACTGACACATCCAGTGGTTGCAACTTATGGCTGCAGTGTGGAGGAAATGAAAGAATATGAATTCCATGCTTAACCGCTATATCTAATGCATCCACAGATAAATGAGACGAGTGGTTGTCTAGCAACAAAAGCACAGGTGAATCCGTTGATGGCTTGACGAACTTGATAAAATGTCGAATGTACTGACAAAACTTTGACTGGGCCATCCAGCTAGAATCATTCGCAAAACCAGCAGTTCCACACGAAACATTATCTAAAAAGCATGTTTGCATCTTCTTGCGTGGGAATAAGAAAAACGGAGGGATAGAATTTCCACTGGCAATGACCGTAAGGGCCAGGGTTATCATCGTATCACGCTCGGCAGCCTCTACTTTTCCAATTCGTTTCATTCCTTTTAAGGCAATAACTTTGCCAATTTTGGTGGGAACATTAGAAAAACCGCTCTCATCCATGTTGTAAATAGACGTGCTATCAAAATGAAATTCATCCAGCAGTCGGCCCAAATTTTCAAAAAACTTGTCTACATTATCTTTGCAGAAAGCTTTGACCCGATGAATGGATGTTTGCTCTGCTGTTCTAAGCTTCAGTTCTGGATGACGTTTCATAAAAAGATAATACCATGTACGACCGGCTTTTGAATCCTCATTCCAAACGGTCGGACATTTAAGGCCGAGTTTTTTTTGCTAACTGGAACGCCAATTCCTTTAAATCATTGATACTCAGGCCGTAATAATGATTTACGCACTTGAGGACATAGTCTACAAGGTCTTTTTCTTGTGCAAGAGAGAAAACCTAGCGTAAAAAAATTATTAAAAAACCATTCATCATGGTGGAGTATACAGTAGAGGTGAAAAACGTACCATATTTGATGGAGTTCTTCTGCTACACGTTTGGATGAATTCCATCAATTCATTCTTCTCAACTGTCAAAATATCCTCATAATTGGCTTTTACTTTATTTACGTAGCGCTGCAAAGTACTTTTATCAAGGTCATGTTCATGGGCAGTCAATCGGATGCTTTTCTGTTCCACTATACAACATTTAATGGCTTGAAGAAGCGCATTAAAATTGACTTCTTGGGATTCCGTTGATTTGTTTGGAGTTGGCATATCTAAAAATGTGAGAAAATAAGTCAGAACGATAGTTAAACGGTGTTTTTGCAAAGTCATATGTTGTCTTGTTTACGACTTGAAGAAATAAACAAATAATAAACAGTAATTACGATATTTTGCAGTTACGAACGCTTCGAAACCGTCACTTTATGGCGAAAAACATAGTGTCTCACAACTAGCGATGTGATGTGTCTCACAAACAAAAAATGACAAAATTTTGAAAATGATAAAAAAAAATTTTTAACTGTAAATTAGCACACAGCAATATAGCATCACAAAGTATAAGAAAAATACTGATTGAAAATGCATTACACTTACCTTTTTCAGCTAATTTAATTAGGAAGCTAGTACTACGCCAGATATGGATGTTTTAATTATTTTTTCGATTTTCACTATGTTTGAAATTAAGGTATACGACTATCGGCTTTGTTGTCAATGCAATAACTACCTCGCATCAAAAGAAATGTTTGAATGTAAACAGATCGGATTGTTTACATTCCGTATTTGAAATACTTGGCTGTCTCACAACTAGTGCCGTCTCACAACTAGTGACTCTCCCCTACACAAATAGTATTTTTTTAAGAAAATAATATATAATCCTCAGATGATCATAAAAAATTAAATTAATTTTTCATAATCATCTGGGGGTTATTGTAACATCCGATGCGCCTACAATACGGCACCACGTCCGTCACTAGACAGGATACACGAATCAATGCTAGTATGAGTAACACAAATACATAGAGAACTAAAGTCGTGACTCGTAGCACGCGTCTAAACGGCCGAAACCGAATTGCGAATAACTGCGCCTGCGCCAACTGTTTAAGGTAGAAAATGCAACTAGGATGCATTTAAATACAAATCCACTATCGCCAATAAAAAGACAATCACGAGCTGATAAAGTCGAGCTATTTAGATCTGAGAATAATTAACGATCTTCGGCAGAATTCAGAAAAAACCGCGATGCATCCCAGTAATGCACTTCCGTGCAGCTTCGAGTACACCTACTGGACGCCAGCAAGCATAGGAACACATACATACCCATCTGACAAGCGCTGACACTCACAAGTCTAAAATAAAGGCTTAAATAAACATAGAATCTCTCGCGAATACTTAATTCTCAGTAATCGCTCGAGGAAGCGGCCTACCGAAAACACGGCATGAAAAACACAGCGCATCTCTGTGTACACTTTACTCGTGTCGTACTACAACACGCGCGAAGCCGACTCGGCCATATGAGCTGTACCCTGTAAACTATAGATTTCTTGCATTCGCGCATTGTAATTCGGCGTTATTAAGCTTAGAATCGACAAATTAATAATTAAAGAATTTTTCAAAACGTCCTCACACGGACATAACACAGCCAAAAGAATAACATCCCCTTACCGCGAGACGCTACCAAGCAAACCATATATAAACTCGGCGATTCTAGCGGAGCGTACCTATTCCTTTCAGAAAAGAGTCACAGACAAGATAATTATACCTCGCGCCGAAAGGCGTTTCTGCGGCTTCCCTTCAACTGTATCTTTTCACAGCCGATTCTTGTCCGCGCCTTCTGGCGTCCAGGAATCACTCTGAAAATTCCTTCCGATACTTTACCGACTCTTGTCCGCGCCTTCACGGCGTTCGAGGGTCATTGTATTAACGCTCACTTCCTATTCCTTATAGATTTAAGTCGGAAATACATAGAATAATTTCTCTCATATCGAAATTACCGATATTCAACTTCACACGTAGAATATCTCTTACATGTCAAGAACGTTATACTTGGAGTATGTTTCATTCAACTAGGGAACGTTAAAGTCTTGAAATCTAAAAATTTTATACTTAGAGCATTCTCAACCACCTGAGAAATTAAATTATTTTACTGAGAGAAATTAATTCTATATCGAACAATATTCATATTCAGAAACACTAAAGCTTATACTCAGAATAGGTCACTTTCACACTGCAAATATAGAAAAGTTTTACTTTCTTTCACATCGGTAATATTGGAACTTAAAACTTATAAATAAACCAGTAGTCGTTAGCCGAAAAACATTAAAATCTTACCCACGAGAAAAATTATAACTCAGAATATTTTCTCCTTCACCGGGAGCATAATATCTGGAGACACGGTAGTGTCTCGGCGCTAAGCCAAGCGCCGCGGCACTGCCGTGCCTCCTTTACGCGAAACTGAGAGTTTCGGGGGATTGAGATGATCAGATCTCAGTAACGGCTGAACGGCTCAAGTTCTATATACGCTCAATCGATAGCAATTGCTTAAATTGTATAATAAAAGTGCTTTCATTTTTTCTCTACGTGGCCTACGAGCGAAGATATCACGACTCAAAGTCCGAATCTGTAAATTTTCACGTTTTATTTTTAAGATACGTCGTCGTCGTTATTATTATTGTCATCATCATTGTCATCATTGTCGACCACATTCCATTCGATGTCCTTCTGACATTCCTGCCGCAAGAGGCAAATGTGGCGCTAGTCTATATCGCTCGATCGTCATGGGGCATGTGGACTGCGAGTGCAGCGGTGAGGTGAGAGGGGTGCAACTTTTGGTTGATTTTCGAATATTCGTCCAGCTTTCGCAGTCCCTCTTACCGTATCGCACCGCGCACAGTACAATGCCATTCGACCATCATGGAGTACTTGGACTGCACGCGGTGTGGTGAGGGGGACAGTGCAACTTTCGGCTGATTTTCGAATCGCCTTCGCCTAGCTTTCGTTGTTCCCCTCACCTCACCGCTCCGCGCGCTGAACAATGCCATTTGACAGTCATGGGGCATTTCAACTGCACGCGGTGTGTTGAGGGGGACAGTGCAACTTTCGGCTGATTTTCGAATCGCCTTCGTCTAGCTTTCGCTGTTCTCCTCACCTCACCGCTCCGCGCGCTGAACAATGCCATTCGACAGTCATGGGGCATTTCAACTGTACGCGGTGTGGTGAGGGGGACAGTGCAACTTTCAGTTGATTTTCGAATCTTCTCCGTCTAACTTTCGCTGTCCCCCTCACCTCACCGCTCCGCGCGCAGAACAATGCCATTCGATTGTCATGGAACATTTCGTTCGACTGCACGCGGAGCGGCGCGGGGGACTGTGCAACTTTCGGTTGATTTTCGAATCATTTACGACTAGCTTTCGCTGTCCCCCTCACAACACCACACCGCGCATAATATATTACTACGAAGAGCAACCGTTTTACATTTATTTAATAATTTTGTTTTATATATGCGATTGTGTTAACGAATAAAAAATAT